TCGACATAAAGTTATTCTTAGTAGTTAGCACAGATGTATCTATATTCCATGCATATAGAAAGATGATACCCTTTATTTCTCTTTTGTTCAAAAAGAAAAAAAAACTCATTCTAACTAAACGACGAATAAAAAAAACGTCGAGAAGTTAACGATTTTTCGACAATAGTATAGCGAAGACATAGAATGCATTTCTGATGAATATTTTTCACGGAAAGTGCAATATTTCTACGCATTTCGATGTTACTATCACGTGCTTTACTGCGCGTGGCTGCGTAAGCATAAATTCGCGTAGACGAAAATACTCGTTAATATTTTCGTTTAATATATGTTGAAGAACTTACATATTAATCGACAATTATGCTGTTTCGAGAGAACTGCTGTATAAAAAAACGTCGTGGCTTCGAAACACTTCATAAAATCATTAATTCTAATCAAAAAGAAAAAAAAAGATCTATTGCTCAATACTCAATTTCATACTTCGTTGTGTTCAACTAGATAAATTTACATGATATGTATGATATAATTCCATTGATAAAAAATCGATTAAAAAAAAAGAAGAAGAAAGATAAAAAGAGAATGGAAAAATTAATCTATTTGTTTCACATCGATCAATTTCGAAACAGCAGGATTATCGGTCACTATAATCTGTATAAAACAATGAGTGGAACGTATCTCGTGTATATCAGAAATAAACGATATAGCACAAATGTAATTAATGAGAAATTTATATGTTTGATTATTGAAACATATAATTTGAGATAAGCTTAAGAAAATTAAGAAGAAGACGAATCCATTCAGATCTATACGATCTGTTATTTATTTTTCCTATATTTATTAAAAATATATCTGTCCAATTTTAACTATAAAATAATTTTTATTGAATAAAAAATAATGGAAATAAAACGAAACAATATATTATAATTAAGTTTATTATTAATTTTTATAATTCAAGATTTAAAGTATGAATTTTTACATCAATATAAAATATATAAAATAATTTTGAATACAGTTACATAAATAGATCGCTTCTTAATATTTTAATTTCTATTTGCGCTATATTGTTTTTATCTTATATACATATATGTATGTAAATACGTACAAATGTGCGAAGTATTAACATACAACATTATACAAACAATAGATTATTTTTCCACGTCTAGCTCGAATGTTTCGAATCTTCGACGAACATCTGTGCAGCTAGATTTAGGATATAATAAGGAAGTGAATAATCGGCAATGCACGACACATTTCGTATAACGATGATATACAGGTGCCGATTAGAATGTTCGGGTGGGCATATATTACATTTATTATATATTTTATTTTCGTTTAGACGTACAGGCATAGTTACTGAAAGGGGTTGAACAGTAACGATGCCTATGATAATAATTTACGTATATACATTATGAACCGTTATTTTCTTTTACAATTACAATTAATTTCTTAAAAAAAAAAAAAAAAGAAATACGTACAATTAACAAGCGAGATTAGATAAAATAATAAATACCAGCATTGAATGGTGATTCATATTTAGTTAAAATTTAATTAGAATAAATATATTTTAATACTGACACTAGGATCTCAAAATTTCTTTAATCCAATCGAGACTGTACAGTTATATACTAAAAATTTCTATATTGAATAATCTGAGAATATTCAAGATTATTATTGTCAGTAATACTTGATAAAAAAAATAATATGTCTAGTTAATTGTACTCGAGAATCGTGTGTGTTAAAATTTATCACTGGCAGAAATCTACTTTGATAGGATTTACATGCTTGTATTATTTTATGTTTTTATATAAGATCGTTAAAAATAGTTTTGCCAGTTTTTTGAACCAGTAATCTTTCAGTGAATTGTGTTACGATGGATTTGAACGTCGAGTTTCTGAGTACAATATCTCTTGGCGTTTAAGTTCAATATCGTTCAAATCGCGCTATTTTTCACTCTATTCAACATAGATTCTCTTTAATGGTAGGGTTAAATATATATTATATGTAATAAAGAGAACAAAATAAATGTATGTATACTTATGTGCTTGTGCACATTAATTCACAAACATCATCCTGCATTCTTGAATCATTTTAAAATTTTCAATTTTTATAACTTTTTTAAATTATTGTTTTTTTTTAATATTGAAAAAAAAATAATTGAAAAAAAATATGTTCTATTTATTTTTATTTATTATTTTTTATGTTATAAAATTTTCTTTCAAATATTAGAAAAGCAAAGGGGAAAGAAATATTATACAATAGAATAATGTTAAATTATTATAATTTGTATATGTGTTTTTTAATTAATTATTGTTATATATATATGTGTATATATACATATATATATATTAAGAATTTAAAAAAACTGTTTTCTCAATACACTGATTATAAACACACATATATACAAATTATTAATACATACTATGTCTCATAAAAAATTTGTATTCTTTGAAATGAAAAAAATTTTACATATTTGCATTTTTTCTCAGATTATATTCTAATCGAAATTTTTGATATTAAGAAAAATAGATAAATAAATCATCTATTTCATAGAATGTTTAAAAATTCCTTTCTATTCTTTATTGCTGAGTAAGATTTTAAATCCGGTTTTATTGCCGAGCTTATTTATTATTATTATTATTGCTGTATTATAAAACGCTCATATATCACAACTCAGGTATACAAAAATGTAAGAATCCGTTAAACATCTAGAAATTTCTGAGAAAGATTAATTTCAAGCAACATTTTTCTTTGTAATTTTTGTTATAACTTTTCGTTATAATGATAAATTATCAAAAAAAAATATTAACCAATTATGAAACGCATAACTTAGTAACATTAGTTACGTGCCATTATTCGAAATCCAAGCAATCATGTATTGAAAAAAATGTATTAAATATAATAAAATATTTTTTATCAATAGAAAATTATATCAAATTATATCATGAATACTGAATAAACCATAACCTTATATAAAGAGAATGTTAAGTATAATAATGAAGAATCAAAAAAATATTGATCCATATTGATCCATGGTTTTTTATCCAATGTAATCAATTATAATATATACAATGTATATATATAGATATATTTATAAACATATATATATATTTGCAAATAAGTTAAAAATATTTAACTTTTACCATGTACAAATATTTTACGGAATGCATATGAATAGCATAGATTTAGCAAAATTTATGAATAGCATAGAATATTGCATTTAAACTTCTCTAATGGATGATATTTAAAAATATTTATTTTAATTTTAATTTTATTGTGAATAAAAGTATATTACCGTAGCCACCTATCGGAGCTTCTATTTATTTTTTTTACTATGAGATTATATATATAAATAATATATATTTAGAATTATAAGAATTTAAAGAAATAATTTATTTTATTTTTTAATAATTTTTAATTGTTAATGTAATAATTATATTTTATTTTTTTTAAACATTTGTTTTTCTAAATATTAATATGCATCTATTTAGCTATTTAATTTTATGTCCGATAGATGGCTATTACTTATTTTTTGTCCGATAGATGGCTATTACTTATTTTATTCACAATAGAATTTTACGTCCATTTTAACATTCACGTTTCAAGGGTGAGGGAGCAAGGAACAGTGAAGTGAAATATATAATTCGAAATTAAGTAATTTTGACTTAACTTTCGGAAGTGAAATTCAAATATTTATTTCCTCTATTGATGCATACACAGTGAGAATTAGTTTGTATAGTTTTATATAACTTTCCTCATTTGCATATGCTTCAGTAATAAGATCGGTGATCGATAATAAGATTGATAAAGTTAATGTGCATACTTTCGTGTGTATATAATAAAATATTTTACAATAAAAACTACAAGTAAGTCTTATTTTACAGTTATTCTAATAGATATGTAATATATATTTCTCTTTATTTTATTAATCGAATGAATATAATATTTCTTAATATTAATATTTCTTAGAAAAGATTTAAAATTAGAAATATTATTAATTTGATACTAAGATAAAATTTAAAATAGTGGATTAATTTCGAATCGTAATTATCATTTGTATAAGTTAATCAAATTGTACTTTTTTTAATTCATTTTTTGAAATATTAAATAATTTAATTTAAATTATTTAAAAAGTAGCATAGAATATAAAGAGTACTATATAATGCATTTTTACAATTTTCATTTCTACTTTAAAAAAATAATAAATTATATTTGATTTATTTTATTTTTTTTTTTTAATTATTTTTAATTATATTACCGAATATTACAAAACGAAATTGATATAAAAGATTAGATTAAAAATTTTTAATTTCAGTTTAAATTTATTAAGTTTTTCTAATATTAAAATATTATTGTTAGATTTAAAGGATAAATATTAATAGAAAAAGAAATACAAATTTTTAATAAAATTCCAATAAAATTTATATAATCATAAACATAATATTAACAATATAATAATTGTTTAATATTTCATTTAATAATTATTTTATTTTTCTATTATAGATATATCAATAATTCAAGCAAAATGACTGATATCAAGCTCAAAGATTTTAAAAATGATTCAAATCTTAAAACTTCAACAAATTCATATTTAACATCACCAATTTTCATAACACCTCATATATCGAATGATGAAGTAGATAATATTGATTATCATTTTGAAGAAGCAAGACTTCAAAGTTTTAAAAATTGGCCCGTGCCATATATAAAACCTGAAAAACTTGCAGCTGCTGGATTTTATTATACGGGTGAATGTGATAAAGTTAGATGTTTTGAATGTCAAGTTGAGATATGTCAATGGGTACAAGGTGATATTCCAATGGTTGATCATCAGAGATGGTCAGCAAGATGTAGATTTATTTGTAAAATAAATTGTGGTAATGTACCAATTGGAATAGATGCTAATACAATTGTACAACCAAGAAGTAGTTCTTATGATTTAGAACATCGGCTTACATCTGGTGTTGATAATTTTTCAACTGAATTATCAAGCATTAATAAACCTAGTTGTTTAAACTTGAAAGAGCCTAAGAAACCTGTACATCCTGAATATGCTAGTTATGATGCAAGGTTAAACACATTTTCAACATGGCCAAAATTTATGCTACAAACAAAAGAACAATTAGCAGATGCAGGTTTTTATTATATAGGAAAAGGTGATCAAACTATATGTTATTATTGTGGATGTGGTTTAAAAGATTGGGAACCACAAGATAATCCTTGGGAGCAACATGCGAAATGGTTTTCTAAATGTTACTATTTATTAATGATTAAAGGACAAGATTATGTGAATCAAGTAACGGGCCAGCATATATCTTCACCTTCTGTACAAGTAAGAATATGAATATTATATTATATATTTTATATTATATGTATAATTAATAGTTCAATTGCATACTTATATAACATTATATTTATTTCAGGAAACAATATCAAGATGTACAAATAGCAATTCAGAATTAAGTTATCAAAATAATAGTGTAGAGACTAATGTAAATAATATAGAACCTATAAGAGAGAATGCAGAAAATTTATCAAATATAAAAGTACAAAATAATAAATCTCCAGATGATGCAAAAATATGTAAAATTTGTTATAATGAAGAATTAGAAGTAGTATTTTTACCATGTGGACATGTGATCGCTTGTGTAAAATGTGCTTGTGATATGAAATCTTGTGCAGTGTGCAGAAAACTTATTACAAAGACTGTACGGGTTTTTTTCTCGTAGTATTTTATATATACATTAATAGTATTTTAACAATTATAGATAAAAAATTATTGCAATATATTTATAATGATTCTTTTAATTACTTGTAACAAATCATTTTAATATGAAAGATTTATAATCCGTCCAACAAATCAATTCAGTATTAAACAAAACATTCAGAATTTAAAATATGTGATATATGTAATAATTTCAATTCAGTTATTTACATTCAATTATTGACTGGGATAGCAATATTGCTATGGACATATAGAAAAATATGTTTTATTGTAGATTCACTTTAGTTATTGATAAAAAAAATCTTTAATATTAAAATAAAAAACATAATTAATTATTTAAGGTATTTTTTATATTTTTATTTATTGAATTATTAAAATTAATGTCTTTAAAATATCTAAAAATACTTTTTATTAAAATATTTTTTATTAATCACAGTTTTGAATGTGATATTAAAATACATGTAAATACATGTAGCATATATTAAAAATTTAAAAAACCGTTTTTTTGATATGTATGTATATTGATGCATTTTAATATTAAAAATATTTGATTTTGAAAAAAAAAATGATGAAAATGATATGCCGCATGTTTATATGTCTATGTTTGTGATATATAGAATAAGTACAGACAAAAGAACAAATACTGGAAGAATGACAAAAATTGTAAAGAATGAGATAAAAATTGGAGAATTATTTCTGAATGATATAAATGAAACGAGGAAAGCAAGTAGTATAAAAAAAAAAAAAATAGAAATAGAATTAGAATTAGCGTCATCCTTTGAATGCTAACATCATATTAAAAATAAAATATCTTTGGCATTCAAGAGATGACATAAAAGATCAATTTTTATCTTTATTTTTTATCTATAATTTATTTTTTTATTTATTTTTTTATTAATTTCATCTACAGTACTCTAAAAATACTGATTCCACAATTTTTATCTCTATTCTTGTCATATTATTTGTTGTCTTCATTTATATTTGTTTTGTAAAATTTATGCGCTCGAAAGACAACATATCTGATATTTGATTAACCTTATTGTTTTTTAAAATAATATAAAAATATATTAAGCATATAAAAATTTGTATATACATATGTACATATTTGTAATATATTTAATAAAATATATTGATACATTTAGTATCAAAAACTATATATGAGTTTTTATTTCTTATTGGAACCCTATTTTTCCATTATAACATTATTTGAACTTCTCAGATCCGATTATTCAAAAATTAAATTATTCAAATAATCCGTGAATTTACTATTTTACAATAATCAAATGAAATCTTAATGATTATTTGAAATGTATTAAACCATTATTCATGTATAATTTATATAATTTGTAGTTATCGAAATATACAAATTTATTGATATATATAGTTGCATAAACTATAATTATCAAATGATAGAATAAGAAATTTAAATTTTTGAATTTTAAAAATACATTTTTAATTTTTAAGAATTCAAATTCAAATTAAAATTTAGATTTCAAAAAATAATTTGAGATAATTATTTTGCATAATTATTCTTTCTTCTTTAGTAAAATTTAAATTAAAATTTATAAATATTATCTGAGAATTATTTCGTATCTTATATATATCTTATATAAAAATGTATTTTAATTGTTATAATTATTTTATGCTGAATTGATAAAATAAGAAAAGTATATAATATTATATTACAGATAAATCTTTAAGGGAAGTTTAAATTAAATTTTGTCAACAAAAGGGACAGAAAATATATTAAATGATAAATCTATTTTACATTTTGTCTATGGTTATTTCTTGTTATGTACATGGAAATCGATTATAGTTTTAGTTCAATTTGTTTCCGTTAAGCCAAACTGGCGCTTTGGTTGCATAAACTATAATGCGCAATACGAAATGCGCTAACATACGTAGAATCCGCGCAGTTCGTGGTTGCGCGACCATTAAAACGGACAAGTCTTTGCTATCATTCGGACCCATAAGGGTTTCAGTAACGTTCGTACTAGCGTAGAGAAAAGGAGATATTTTAAGATATCACGCACATATTTAAGTGTGAAGTAACTGTCGCATTGTAATTGAAAATGTTCACCGGTTTAACGAATCAGGTGTCTACATGGATGGGAAAGAAGGCAGAGGATGCCGGCACGGAATTACCACCTGAGGAAAAAATTCCTGTAACTGCCGAAGGAGAAGAATTGGACAGGAAAGATAGGTATCAGTTTAACCTATATTGTTTTATCGTCGAACGTCATAATTTGATATGAGTTTTGTTCGCTGTATTTTGATATTTTGTAAAAATTGTTAATCTTATAGTAATATTCTTATCTCTTTATTCAAAATTTAGAAATGTATTTTAATATTTTTTGATTGTTATATGGAATAGTTTTTGATGTAACTTATGATTATGATAGAACGTCAAATGCATACATGCTGTTTCTGCGCATCTATGCAACGCGTCAAAATTTTAGTTTTTAGATTTTGAATGCAGTTTTGAGATTAGATCGATAATATTTATTTCTATGCTTATATAAACTACTTATGCGACAGTATTATGACGTTCGCGAATTAAAACACTAACGAAACATATAGTCAGAAAATTTTCGTTCTTAACCTTTTCTTTGCTTTATAATTATTAATTTCAATTTATAAACTTACTATATTTTATAATAACAATATAATAATAGATAATTAAGCAATTATCGCTATTGATTAAAGATTATGTTAGTCTAATTTCATTTCGAATGATATTTTGTTTCCTAAAAATTTTTTTAGTTATAGTTTCTTTTAGGTAATAAGAAAATAAAAACTTTTTTTTTCATCCTATAATTCAGTAATTTCTTATAAAATCAGACGTAATATCTATAAAATATCATATCTTATAAAATCAGATATAATATGCCTTATTTCTATTTTTACATTTTTAGTTTGACATTAAACGTTACAGACATTTAAATATTGTATCATGCATTTCTTATTTGCATGAATTTCCAATGTTATTAGTTAGATATTTCACATTTTCTGCTTAAAGAAAATGTCATCTTTGCATAGGCATATTATTACATAATGTTTATATGAAGATTCTTAAAAAGTTACGTTATTAAAAATAAATTTCAGAAATAAGATTTTATGAATCGAAAAATCCCATCGCGATGTATAGGTTAGATCACTGTCACAAATTTTGACATGGCTTGAGTATACATAAATTCCGATGTTGATTCTTATTGCGTCGAAATCAATGTGCATTAAATAGATATTTTCTAATAATTTTCTATAATCTTAATTTTATTATATATTAATAAAATTAATTTTCAATTAACATAATTTTTTATTATTTTCTTCCTATTTCATTTTTTTTTATTATTAAATTATTCCTATCATTATTTTATGTATGTGTATAAAGATGTATTCTCAACGCGAAACTAGTAATTGACAAAAATGAAACGAACGATAGAATAGTCAGTACATTATCAAGCTGTTTTTAATTTGAATGCATATTTTATTTGCTGAGAGAGAAGGAAAGGGATATAGAAAGAAAGAAAATAAGATTAAAGAAATCGTAATATTTTTACATTTTATTATCTATTTTTCTAAAAATATATTTCTCAACTTACAACAAAGTGGTGCATAATTTAATAATTTCTTAGCTCAAATTGTTTAATTAATTCTATTTCGCATATATTCAGCTATTATTAGGATAAACATTGTATTGACCTGTATTGTATTGAATGAACATTATTTTGATTAAAAATAGGTAAGAACTTTCAAAATTTGAAAATTTCTGCTTGATGGAAAAATTGTTTTCTTATTAAGTGGTTAAAGCAATGTTTTTTAAGAAATCTATATATATATATATAGCAATATATATATGTGATTGAGGTTAGTCGAGGATTCAAACTCTATTCGTACGAAGAAACAGCGATGTTTCCATAAAAGGGAGGGAGGTGGTCGTAATCTTTTATATAGGTCGCAATCGATATCACCGCAGTCGCCCTCCCACGAAACTGTTAAATTTCATATAATGGTGATGAAAAATTTATCGTAATTTCTTTCCATCTCTCATTTTTTTATATTTATCTTATTTTCTGTTGCTCTTTTTTCACTTTTTTGATAATCGTTCGATAGTTTAACGATATGCAGAAGAGTAATAAATTTTCTAATTTTTTGCCAAACATTTTTGTAAAACATTTGAGGTTAAGTATTTATTATTTCTCAGAATCTGTTAGTTATTGATAAACGACATTGCGCACATAATCGTATGGTAGCAGCAGGTAATTTAAAATAATTGCATCGATTCGATGCGAATCTAATATCGGTTATTAACGAAGTATCGTAATACGTTATCATGATGTCGATATTCTTGTATATAATCAGCGGGGAGGAGTTACTAATAGTTTCTATGCGTAACAATTAATTTAACAAATAAACATGTTAGAAATTCTTAACTAGATCATTTTTTAAAAAAAGATTGAAGAGAAAAAAAAATATTAGGAATAAGATGAACTTTTTTCAAGATTATTAAAAATTCTTTTTGATTGGCTTATAATTATAATATCGATAAAATGGTTATAAAAGCCACAATACTTTTAAACGAGTTATAGTTGCAACAATGTTTTATTGCCGTTGTTCTTGACTTGATCACGTTGACCTATTTTTGTTCGTAACATATTTACAACGAATAAGCAGGAATCGAAAGCCCACTTTGAAACACATTCTTCTCTATTGACCTGTTTTCCTTAAAGGTTAGATAACCATCGTAACAACTGATGAGGTTAAATAAATAGGGAAAAATGAAAAATACCTAGTTTTATTTAGAGCGATAAAAAAGAAAAATGTAAGGATGCTTTAGGATTCTTCGTATAAAAAAGATTCATCATAAACTCTAAAATCAATTCTGTTGGCATAAAATCAACTTTTATATTTACGACAGATCAATAATGTAAGCTAGTCTTTTCGCATTGAATGTAACCAAAGCAATTGGTTTATAAGTGCATCAGTTCAAAGTTGTACAACAACATAGATTATTGATAGACGTGAAGTCTATCTTAGTACAAGTCTTTAATATTCATTCATATTACAACTAATATTATTGTCATATCGTTAACAATTTCCATCTATTATTCTAGCGATGAAAAATATACATTTTATAATACTATCTTGCCAACATTTCTGCAATTAGCCTATTGTTACGTAGAAATATAAGACAAATTGTTTAAACATCTTCAATCTTCAATAGAAAGAAAACATCGATTATTCGTAACAAACGAGAAAAGAAATTTCTCTATTTTTCATTGGAATAAATCGATTTCAATATATAAGTCACATTATACATCTTTAACTGTTCTCTTTCTTACTTAACCTATAAGATTCTCAAATTTAAACTGAATTTCATGCAACTGTTTTCGTTGGAACTATTACATGAAGTAATTACAAACATTCCGGACAGAGATAAGATAGAATTATTCCGTATGTTTCTTAAGAACACTTACAAGATTGCTAGACATATATTTTTATATAATTTTCCCACTTAAATTATTATCTGGATCAAGATTCAAACTTTACAATGTTACGATTAACACGATAAAAAAAGAGAAATGAAAAGAAAAGAAAAAAAGAAGCTAAAATAGAATCATCCAAATAATTATAAACTGGAAGAATAAAAAAACAAATCATTCGTGATCTTCTCTCATTTCTTCGTATTTTTTCGTATTACTCGTATAAAACTTTTCGTTTTTAAATGTAATTTATAAATGCATTTTTATAATTTTACATTCATAGTTATTTTTATTCTTACTGTTAGATGTTAAAATCGAAACCGTGACATGGTAATAAATTAAAAAATCCTCTTCTTTATAGCCCGACCAAAAGTGGCAGCAAATTGGACATGTTGGTTGGTGTGAAATCCCAGATGACAGGCTGGTTTAGTGGTGGAATTCCTGGACTGAGCCGCGGTGGACAAGGAAATGAAGGCGAATCGCAGGGCCCTAAAACAATGAACGGGGCCCAAGTGGCACAAACCACCACCGAGGGTACCGTCGAACAGACAAAAGACGACGATGCTAGTAGGTAAGAAGTTATCTTTTTATATAGCGAAATCCTATCTTCGATAGTATCTTGGTGGAATTTTTTTATATGTGATATGATTTAATCCTTTTACAGTGTGATAAAGTGACGAAGAATTTGAAAATTGGAGTGATTTAAAAAATGATCGAGGGGATTTGATAAAAAAAATAATACAAGTGAATACAATTGAGGAAACGATACAATCATTTGTGCGTTTGGAATGTTGTGCTACTTTTTCTCTGAGTTTTCTTGTACGGTTTTTTTTTTTTAGTGAGGTTAATAATTAGTCACACTGTGAAAGAGTTGAATTTTATTACTGTATGATTTTAAACGATCTATCGATGAATTTGAAATAATTTTTTTGTTATTATTAGAATGATTTATATACTTATTTTTATTTATTCAATTAGTAAGCGATTGATAAGGTAAGCTCTAGTATTCAAAGTTCGAAGAACAGCATTGGAATTCATTTGACACGTTAATGGATAGAATAATTTTTGTTCTTATTCTATATTCATGCTGCATTTTACGTAGAAGCTTTTTTAAAAATCTTTGTAGGATAGCGTAAATTGCACGGCATTATGCAGTTTGTTCATATTTTATTCACGCATTTCCTTCGTTATATTTATAGCGCAACTGGCGGAGCTGATAGTGGTCCTGCGAGCTTAGAAGGTTCTCCATCCGAGGATAAGGAAGGACAACAAGCATTTGGAGGAGGTGAGTTTTTAAAATTTCGTTCTATATAAATACATTTACGAGTATGAATAGCAACGTACCGTATTAAATAAAACGTAAAATGTTACATAAGATTATGTATCTGAGTTATGAAACATCGCGACATCTCTTATTCTCCTTTGATTAACTTAACCTAAACTTTGGATCGTTTTAACGTGTATAAATCATTTTTATACGGATACTTATTCTTGCACGTTTACCTTTGGCAAATCATTTTAAGTTGGCGAGAGTTCGAAAAAATTGCAAAGAAAACTTTTAATTAGATTCAAATTTAAAAAAATGAAAGAGATTGGAAAATTTTTCAAGAAATTGATTCCTCGTTGCCAGTGATACTCGTTCCGAGTGACAAAGTTGCGTTTTCTAATAAGGAAGTGAAGAGTAAAAAATAGAATTGATTATCTTTTCTATAAAATAGTTTATTAGAAGAAAAATAATCGAAAATTATAATCACAAAGAAAGAATGATTAATGATTATATCCATGAATATCAAAAGTTCAAAACAAAAAAAAAAATATAAGAAAATAAAAATTTTAAATTAAAAATCTCCCTATTTCCAAGTTTAAATCCCTGAAAGTTAACCAATCCGTCAAAAAGTGGAAAGCTTTAGGAATACTCTCGGTATTTTTCAAAGAAATTTATTCATCTCTCACGGTGTTCCAACCATCGGCGTTCGAAAAAAAAAAAAAAAATCGTTCATTTCCATGAAG